GTTTACTGATGGTTCTTACGCTGGGTCTTCGATGTCTTTGGTGGTTTCAACTTTGTGCCAGCTATGCCCAATGCAATCCATCTCTATGTACATATGGGTGGTTGTCAAAATTATGGTCCCTTTTTGGGTCTCTATTATAATACGGGGCCTAATTTAGGGGACCCAAAAAGGGACCATAATTTTGACAAAACCCTAAAGTGTATCTTTCATCCTTGACTCCTGAAGCAAGATGACCACCCATACTCGGGCCATAGCCGCCCGAGTATACCCCAAAACTCGGGCCCTACACCCTAAACCCTAAACCACAAAACTCATGCACTAAGCCCTAAACCCTAAACCCTAAACCGCAAAACTCATGCGCTAAACCCTAAACCCTCAACCCCAAAACTCAGGCCCTAAACCGCTAACGGGCGAGGCTCCCCGTGGCCTCCTGAGCTCGGTCACGAAGTCATCGCGATCTCAGTGCTCTGGTTCAGGATTAAGCTAGGCTGCTGTTAAGGAACTTAACCGAAGTTACTATGCTTCCAGGACATGTCTGAATACCGAGCTCCCCCCGAGCAATACCACTATGTTGGTCCGCACTGTCTTCGGAACCCCAGAAACGACCCCATAATTCTGAAACGCCTATTTCGCCTTGCGGGCTCAGGGCAGTAAGGATGTAATTAAGGGCTTCACATCATCTAGGGCTCCCATATGCGGGAGACCCTAAACCCTATTTTGAGGTTAAAGATTTGCAAGGGAAATCTGACCCCAAACCCTACGGAAGGGCTGGAAGCTGCCCCTCATTGCTGTCAAGGCTTTGATTCCCCCCGAGGTCTCTTTCTGGCTATCCTTGTGAGCCTTGGGTATTTAGGTGGGTTTAGAGTTTAAAGTTTAGGGTTCAGGGTTCAGGGTTTAGGCTTTAGGGTTTAGGGTTTAGGGTTGGGTTTGGGGTTTAGGGTTCAGGGTGAGGCTTGCCTCCGAAGTTCAGCAGTTGTTGGATCTGAGGAGCTGACGGATGGGGTCCGGAAGACGCGCCAGCGGATGCCTCAAGAAATGAAGGCGTAGATTTCCAGGCAGCTACGCGTTATCGAGAAAGAGAAAATGGAAAACTACAAGAGATATGGTAGTTTCGCAAAATAAGGGGACCCCAAAATACTATAATCCTTATTATGGGGATCCCCAAAATGGTACCCCTAATTTTGGGAAACCCCCATATGGTTGTTCAAACTATGTTGGCCTTTCCCGACCTAGTGGGGCCTTAGGGGTACGGAGGTGTTGCGCTCATCCCAAAACCTGAATCCACATTTTCCAGGGGCATCACGATTCGTTGATGAAGAGCATAGGCCTGGCACAACACACAATTTAGGGCTTAGGGCTCGGGGTTTAGGATTTACAGCTTGGGATTTAGGGTTTAGGGTTTGGGACTAAGGTTTAGGGATTGGGGTTTAGGGTTTGAGGGGTTATTAAAGGCAGCTTTGCTTTGCACCACACGGCGGGTCACATCTGAGGTCACTACCAGAAGGACTACATTGCTGAAAAGTTAGACAGGAGAACCCCGCCCTTGAAGAACATGTTATGTACATACTGGAATGATCACATATTTGGCTTGCCAGAAAATACAAGCATAACCCACAGGGTAATCAGGTAGGGCGTTGTATTTGTGCTGCGCGTGCCGGAGAACAAATGACAGTGTCACGAGAGGCCCTATGAAGCCTTCTGTCCTTCTGAAAGATGGCCTTGAAACCTAAACCTCAAAATCCGGCTGTCTTAAACGCTAATGCCTTTAAACCCTAAAGCCAGTAACAGTCTATAATAGTGCAATATTACGCATCTAGGGTTTCGGGCTATGTATGCTTGATAAATGTTGTCTACAGTAACTGTTGGAGGTACTGAGCGGGGACAGTGTCCAACCTAAAGCACTAGAGGGTTCCAACTAAACCGGAAACCCTGAACCCTAAACCTTAAACCCTAAACCCTGAACCCTGAACCCTAAACCCTAAACCAGGAAACCTTAAACCCTCAACAGGCTTCCACCCTCGTTTCGGGGAAAAGCACCCCAAAAAAAAAAAGCCCAGAGTCTGCTCGCACCTCGAAGGCCCCGCCGCCGGAGTGGCAGCAGTGCCGATGACCTTCGCGATGGTTTCGGGCTTTTAGGGCTTGGGAATTTGGGTTTGGGATTTAGGGTTTAGGGTTTAGGATCTGGGATTTAGGGTTTGGGCTTACGGCTTAGGGTTGGGGATTTCGGGTTTAGGGATCTAGGTTTTAGGATTTAGGGTTCAGGGTTTAGGGCTTGGGATTTAGGGTTTAGGATTTAGGGTTTAGGGATCGGGAGTTATAGCGTAAGGTTTAAGGCTTGGGACTCGGGGCTTGGGATGGGGCTTCAAACCTTCAATCCCTTAGCTCAGAGGCTCTTAGCACGGCAGATCTTGAACAAGTTAGGAGGCTACAAGCAAAAGCAAACTTGATCTTATGCTATACTGGAGCTATAATCTCCCTCTTACTTTAAGTTAGCACATGTTTGAAACAGCAAGGCAGTTTCCATAAACAGGGAACCCCCTGTCTAACCTTATATATTCAAATCGGAAACCCAAAGGCTTTACTGTATGCCCCTATGTGACCCTAGAAACCCCTTTTCAAGCTTAGGGTTAAGGACCCGAAATTGATCGAAATCCCCATAAGGCCCTTGCCAAGTTCGTGGTCGAAGTCGCCACCCTCTGCAGGGGCGATCGCAGTGCGGGCGTCGGCGAGCGCGTGACCCTGCCACGGGTCGGTTTAGGAAAGCCCTTTTTCGGCTCCCTTAGGCCCCCGGGTGCTGGAGTAGTTTGGAATTTGGGGTTGCTTGTTTACGGCGGAAAGAGGTAGCTGAAAGAAATCCCTAAGAGTCCCGAAAAGGTAAGAGATACACAGAGCTGGGATAAACCCTTACCCCCTAACCTTAAACCCTACACCCTAAAAAGCAGTTTCCATTTTCTTTTCCATTATCCCAATACCACCCCAATATTACAGAACAAGGGACGATGGAGACATGAGACATCGAATCAGGACCGTCATTGTCAAGTCCTGCTCCAGACACCTGCAACTTCAACCTTGTACGGCATGAGCTATATTTCGTAGAAGGGGCAGTAATGGGGCACTTTGGCCTCATTTCGAAAGCTTCTGGAAGGCCTCCTTCGCACCTCTGTTCGCAAAGGTGACACAGGCGAAATAATGACAATAATTGAGAATAAGTACCTAAAAGCGTTAATCATAAGAAGCGTCATGGAAGTCTTTTTTGAAGCCGCCCACAAATTGGAACAACAAGCTACATTTGCTAGACCCAAAAAATGCAAGGGCATCGTTTGTAAGCAAACTGGTAGAATTAATCGGAAATGGAGAGAATGGCCTCAATCCATGTAAACCTTAAAACTGCAGCAAGGGTATACCTACCCAGACAGCGGATACTACCTTTCCCTAGGCACATATGGGGGTTGATCTAGATTCCTTCATCCCGAAATGACCATCTTATCAACAAAAATCCGTTCGCGGAACTTTCGCGGACCCATCGGTGCGCATGTTTCTGATAGCTAGCTCCTCCAGCAGCCCCAAAGCTCTACATTTGGAGTTGGAAAGCGCTGACTTTAAAACTTTCCCTGCATACTTGAACCCAAAACACTCACACCTGCAGACCAAAGCCTCAAGCCCAAAATCTTTACGCCTAGACCTGTGCATGCCAAGGGCAAGCTCGGAGGCTGGGAAGGCTCCCAACAGAACGGGTGCAAGAAATAATGCCCTTCTTCCAAATGAGATGGGAAACCTGGCAACGAGCGTCCTAGCAGAACTGAGAATGTGTGCAAGTTGGGTTACGAAAAAACTTTGGCGAAAAACTACATTTCCTTTTGCGGTGCCATCGCGAAATTTTTGCGATGGCCTACCTTGCAATGCTGGTGGTGCATCCATAGAATTTTTCCTACGCGGACTTTCAGATCAACCCTCACATAGGGTCAACAAACCCAGGTAATCAAAAGGTTCAGGTTGGAATAGGTCGTGCATCGCCGTGCTTCTGACAGGCCCCAAAACCCGGATCTCGAACTCTTCACGTCCAGAGAATGTCTTGAACCTAACAGCCTCGAAAGTTTCAGCATTGAACCCCGAGCCTACAAGCCCCTGCACAGGAGGCCTCGTCACATACCGCATCAGTCGGCGGCACCAAACGCTCCCAAAGTCAGTGCTGCTTGCAGGCGCTGTTGCCGTTTGAAGCCTCAGGTCGAGGGTTTTAGGGTGGCTCCAGCTTCCAACTCTCTTGATGTCTCACGCGCAGAGCAGCCTGCGGGGCGACTGCTTCTGCCTGTCAATTTGCGGCAAGACCTTGGGTGACACATGCTGCGTCAGGTAAATGGTAGGCCTCTGCAGATCTGTGCCGCTGCATCTCTTGCAAGCACAGAGCCGGTGGGACACTGAAGCTGCGGATGAGCGGCCATCTGCCATGCCACAGGTACTCGTCCTGAAACAATGCTTCCTTGACAAAGCCAAGTACCTAGCGGGGTTTGCAGTTCAAAGCATCCCAGCATACTCCTTCACCATCTTTGTCAGCGCCATCCGGCATCTTCGAAGTCCTGCCATAGCTGGACACAGCTGGACACAACAGACCCAGAGACATCCTTTTACGCACCTCCTCAGCCTGCAGGGCGGCGGAGGGTGGCGGTTTCGGCCCAGCACTCAAAGGGCAAAACCTTGGGCACGAGGGGTTGCCAACTGCCGGCTGAGAGTAGCGTCACACATGCAATGGCCACAAGCACTTGTCTGCGAAAAAAAGAACTTTGTCAAAATCAAGAAGGTTGTTCTTGGCGCTACTTTACCACGGCTACCACCACCTCGACCGCTGCCAGACAACTCGTGCGACCACTTCCACTACCATCTCCGCTACTCCACCGCCAACTTCCCTCTCTTCTTCTGACGCTGCCAAGGCACTGACAAGCTTTGCGACTTACTGCTTGCCGGTCACCTGCAGATGTGCTGGACGCTGGCTTTGGGGCAGAATGCCACGTCTGGAGTCATTCCTTGGCTGCTGGGTCTGTCATCGGAAAGGTGCTGCTCTACTGAGCCTGACATGGCTACGAACATGACGCAGTTGCTGACAAGCTTCCAACCCTCATCGGGGGTTTTGCTGCTGTTTTGGTGCCGGCCATACACCCAGAGCTCCGTAATGATGTTGTCATTCAAGAAGAAGGCTGCAGCGATCGCCAAGATATTTTGAGGCGACCAGCAGTACTCATCAAAACCAGGCCAGGCATCCAACTCCTTCAAAGACGCAACATAATCATGCTATCAAGGCCTTCTGCTACTGGATAAAAGAAACCTTCCAGTAGTAACGTGATAGGCTCATGAGGCGATGGCCACACCTCCCATTTTTCGAGCACTGTCTTGATCATTTGCACTCATCACAGAAGGTGTGCCTGGAAGTAGCTCTGGTAGAGGTCAGACCGGAAGAAGGAGATGGACCCGCCAAACAAGCATCCATAGATGTTCACCGGCAAGGACCCGCCCGGAACCTCCAGCACGGGATGCCGGAAAGCACGTCTTACTGCGCCCTTTTGCCAACATTGGACCAGAGCCTGGTTACGCTTCGAACTGCAGTAGCTCTAGGAACAGCAACCAAGTTTGGACGCTCATACAGAGTCCATCAGTATCTTGACTGGACTCTAAGCAAGAATCTAAGGCATTTGTTTTTTAGGCGTATGGAGACATGAAAAGACCTCAACTACAACCCCTCAATCAGAAGGACCTCATCCTCATCCCACCAGTAGCTCACAAGCTCTGGCACCTGGCATTCCACACATCTCAAGAGCTGAGCTAGCAGGAGCATCTGCAAAGTCGAAGTTTGGTGAATGACACCTGCAGCAGTACCATTGCTATGCAGAAATGAGGTATACCTGCAGTTTGCGGTAAGGCTTTACTTGAAAACGATTTCCTGAATTTTCAAGTGCATGTGGGAACATTGGCAAGATCGGTGTGGTCAAGCATTCAGACAGCAAGGAACTGCAAGAGCTGCGACTCACACAACCCCTCCCGAATACTTCAGATCATGTACATGCGCACAGCCTGCGGCGTCAGATTTCGAGCCTGCATGAACTGCTTGGAGACCTGTCCACTGTCCACTGTTCAAGTATGGCATTGAGGCTTCGACACAAAAACGTCCCATTCGAAAAGCTGACCAGATTCATGTTTCTTCTGAGCTGACATGCCTGGACGTACTCATGTTCTGAAACCACAATACGAAAGCGTCACAGTACAGTATGGTCCTGATCCCAAACCCGAAGCTAGAAACTGAAGTTACTGTAGAACTCAAGCGTACGGACATACGCCCACAAACACACAGCATCGTACCCAGAACCATCAAACTCAGAGTGTGCGCATCCATGAACAGGCAGCCTCTGTGAGGTAGACTGTCCGATTCCACGTCTTCTCCTGGTCACCCATGAGGCGCAAAAGAATAACTGTCGTCCCGATTCTAGCGAGGAGAAGCAGCAGTAGCAGTCCTGCTTATGGCATTGCACATTACAGAAAACTGATCATGGTTAGAAGGGTAATTTTGTTACTGTGGAGATCTCGACATTTGTCAAGCCTCTTGGATTCACAGTGTAGCAGCCTGAGGACGCATAGTAGTTCGAGTACTTGAACGACTGGGAGAAGACTTGTTGAGGGCTGATCCGCTTTGGAACTCGAGATTGAAAGGAATGCCGAGAATGCGCAGATGATGACGAGTTGGAGTTGAGAGAAAGCTCAACGGCTCAACAAAATCAGCGGTTGAATTCTATCAGCAATGTGTCTTTAGGTAAGAGAAAGTCAACCACTAACTTGTTTGCCTGGGCTTCTCAGGAGTCTTTGCGCAGGAGATCCAGGAGTGGAGACTTCATCCGAGCTTATGTCAAGCACTCTGCTTCTCCCAGTCAGACACAGCAAGATCCACGTACCGGCACTACTCACAAACTGAGGGCTCGGAATCAAGGACCTGGTTTTCTCCTCTCCAAACCCCTAACGAAAAGAAGCGAAACTGCGCATTGATGCAGCGAAGTCTCGTAGTGAGTTTGCCAGTAGCCCAGGTCCGCACTCTGCTCAAACATATACCAGATGGGATCCCAAGGAACAGGATGGCTCAACACAAACCTTGGCCACCGGGTTTCGTCGCTCAGCCGCGGCTACAAGCTTTGTGGGACTCAAGGCTTGAAAAGCATGCGTTTGAAGCAAGAACAGCCGCGCAGCTGCTACATTCAATTCGACGTTGCAATGAGGTGCTGAACCGTGGAAAGCAAATTGTGGAGATAGAAATGTCATGGGAGCAGCTCCTGCCGAAGTCTTTGTCGCATAGTACTCGACTAGAGTGAGGCTCTTCCAAGCCCTGCCTTTGCTGGGCCCGCGGCTCAGTGTCCACCAGCAATATGTGGCTGTACGCATTGAGAGCCTCCAGTTGTGCATTGGCACCCTCATTTTGACCTGCAGACTCTTGCTAAATGATGTTTCCGCACAACCAACTTTGCAAGTCGTATCTTCATCATTCAAAGGCTGGCAAACTGCCCTCGGCCTCATGCATCCACAGCGGTCCGGCTGTGAAACGTGCTGCCCGGCGGTAGCCCGGAGAGCAGCTTGGATGCTCAGACATGGACCTGAGAAGAAAGACTGCATGCTCCAAAACTCGTGCATCTCAACATTATGGGTCCGTTTCAGGAGTCCTTGTAACGAGGATCCAAATACGTTGGCTGAGTATACGCACTCGAGAAGCTGCTTTTGAGAAACACCTAAACCAGGAACAGGGTTGAGAATAGCTTGTGCAAAGAAAATAAGAACCTGCGGCCAGAACTCATCGACGTTCACAGCTCTGCGAAACCTAGGCTCCTCTTATTCAAAGAACCGACTGCCACGCAACACCCATAGCAACACCTGGGCAGGTGTCACACCGACACTTGCAACACCTGAAGAGAGGCCCCGTGCGAAATCATGTTCCCTGCTTCTCCCGAAGCCCTGTTTCCAAACGTTTGCACTGGGGTGCATACTGGATTCTGGTTTTGATTACTGCGACTCCGCTCTCGATTGGCCTTGCCCAATTGAATCCGAGTCCTCCTATGAAGTCGTAGAGTTGCAGGCATACCGAGCAAAGCTCACACAAACCTGTCAAGGAAAATTTGACCCAAGAAACTATCGCCTGCCAAATTTGCAGAAACTGCAAGAGCGCAGTACTGCGCGGAGCAGGCGGTCAATCTTGGAGTCTAGCCAAGTCAGATCCCTTTCGTCGATGACGGCCACCTCGGTGCTCACCGTGCAGCACAGTCTCCAAAGAGGGCTGAGTGTAGGGTCTGAGGGCCAACTTCAAGCAACAAAACTAACAACCTCAGGAATGGCTAAGACTAGAAGAAATCCAGAAAGTGATCCTGCTTCGAAGTGGAGTGCTGCTTATGGACACCCCCTTGAATGCTTTTATGGGGCAGACAGGCCTACACCTAAGGAGCATGTCGTGAGCACGCAAAACTTGAGGTAGCTGCAGTGATCTGCATGGAGGGGAACCTCTCCGCGAAGCCCTCGGCCTCCAAAACTGGCGTGGCATGTCCAATATTGAGATGTGAAAGCCATGCATCCTCCAAGTTGGTGGTTTGGGGGAGGATGCTGCAGAGCCAAACCCAAGAGCCACATGTCAAGCCTGTTGAGGAGCGGAGGCTTTGTCGGCAAAGACGACAATGGGCCTGGCCCCACAGAGCCCGGAGGCCCCATGAACGCATCATAGGTCAACTTTCAAACAGCCCAAGGAGGTAGAGACGACTCTGAAGGCAAGCTTGTAAAGAACTGCGATTCAACTCTAGATGCGAGACAGAGCACAGAACACGCTGCAATTGCCTGCTTCTACTATTTGACAAAAGCCTGACCAGCAGTCCAAAGCAGAATTGTCAAGTCTCAAGCATGCCCCTTCTCGGGTCAGTTTCTATTAGTTTCCCCACTATTCATTAATGGAATGGGCAATGGAAACCACAACATACTGTAGCAGTTAGTTTCCGCTCTTGCTTTGGACTTCTGAGAATCTTCAAGCGAGCTTGGGCTTCCAGCTGCTTTTCTTGGAAAACCAATACCTGACACAGGCTGTCTGCTGGCTTGTGAGGGTTGTCAAAAATGGTTTGGACATTGCAAGGCATTGTCAGAAGATTGTTGAGGTACCTCTTCAGGATTATACAAGATTTCATTTGAGAAAAATGCGCTTCTCCCCTCCCCCAACAGTTGCTGCGGTTGGAAGCCCATCGCCTCTCTATTACAAGTACTGCCAGGTCAAGACTTCAGTCGACCAGTCGGATGTGAGTCTTGAACTCCTAAGGGTATGTGCCAGCCTCTGACCCTGTGGATCTGGCACAGTGAGGTCGCTCTGCAGCCATGCCAAGACATTAATGGTATCCTACTTGTCCTTGCATTTCAACATCTGTCTGAAACGAAGCCTGCTGAGCAGGAAACCGTTTATTACCTCTTGTCAGCATCCTGCCCCTGCAGGCCTTTCCAAACTGGCCATCGAAGTTGCAATGTCGTGGAACCTGTCAACATTGCGCTTCACATCTTGGGCTCAGTGCAAAAAGCTCAGATTTGCAGAAAACAAGGCGCAGCGAAGGCAACAAGAATTCCAATGGCGCTTCCCAGACCTCATCTACATCGGACAAATTCGTCACCTTCCCCAAAGTTGAATGCCTTTGAGGAGTAGGAAGGACTGTCTTCGGACAGCATGGCGCATAAATTGCGAGAAGCAAAATACTGTCCTCTGCTTGCAGATGACAGGCAAAGTTGCTGTTTCATCACTTTGCACTTGAAACATGCCCTACGGCTCCAGCAAGTTTATCCACATGCATGACCAATATGCATTTTGAAATTGGCCTTCAAGGGAGCAAGTCTCTCATATCAGGTGAAATGAGATAAAAGGATTCAGGCTGAGATGTCATCGCTTGCACCTGGTCATGTCCTTGGGATGGAAGTGGATGTACGCAACTGCACCTCACGTCGTTTGTATTCGTGTCATGTTTGTGAAACGCCAGGGTTTGGGATTGAAGTCCAGAGCTGCTGCGCTCTAGGCCGGAACAAAAATCCTCACCCTCTGGAATGGTTCTGACACCTGTGGCTCTTGAGAGCAAAGCTCGGCGTGGAAATCAGATGAAGCCCGTAACACTATATGTCCCTCATTCACACCTCACAAACAGAACAAACAGAAGAAGCACCTTCCGGCAAGCAGCACGGAACAAATAATGAAAGCAGTCCGCAAAATGTTCGTACAGTCAGGATACAACAACACCGAACGAAAGTGAGGTGGCCTTTCTGCCAAAATTAATGGGCGTGCTCATCTCCTTGATTTCAACCCTGTGTAAGCATAGGGCCTATCCACTAAATTGGCGACGGCTGTCCCGTTCCTTGCTATACACCACCTCGCAAGTCTCATAGAAACTTCTAATGCCACGAACCACGGAACCCCAAAAGCTACCGTGCCTAATCCTTACACTCAAAACCCCAAGCAAGCATCGCTCATGTGCCCGCAAAATCCTGGAAGCCGAACGAGTCATAGAACCCTGCCATCTCCTCATGGTCCTTATGCCATCCCCATTTCCTTGCAATGACACCAAACGGGTTTAAAAAGTGCTCCACAATAACACTCAACAATTCCTGTCAGATTCCGGTAGACTCCCAGAAGCCCTGTGATTCTGGAATCCTGCCCTTGGAGCTCCTACAAAAGTTCTCACAATGAACTGAGCCTCGAGGTTGGCCCACCAACGCCTGACGCCAGTTGAGCGGCGCCGCCAAGCCTACAGCAGGGCTTCTAGGAAACTACAGGAAGCTCCGAGAGCCGGAAGAGACAGGTGACTTAAGGCTAGACCTGATACTACAGGCATCAGGCACCAAAGCTCAAGACAAATAGCGCGAAGGAGGACTGGGCGTAGAAGAGGCACTGCGCAATGCAAAGTTAAATGCCAGCAGCCATGGGATTCAAACTAGCATCCCTATCACAAACGGCTCCTTAATGTCTACCGTTTTGGGTGCATATGCATCTCTGACATCCCCAGGATTGCCATGGCTCCCTGAGGTGCGTTCGCTCCAAGTCTCGCAGCAAGGAAAGCGCAGGCCAGGGAGAGCGCCTGACTTGGGCATTTCTGCTTTATCAGGATCATTCTCGAGTCTTTATGGACCTGTGTCTGGATATTGCAGCTGGCTTTCGAATGAAGTTGTGATCATGGGCTGTTTTCTGGAAACAGAATGCCCCGGCATTCCATCCCCCAAACTCGCTGCTGTGACACAAGGATCCGCAACGAGCTGTTGCGAGCACTTGACAATCATCAAGACTCAACCAAAGAAACGCATAGGAGCTGCATGAAAACTGTCTTGCTCACACGGTAAAGACCCAAATATGACGGCTTCAGCGCTGGGGCTGATGGCATGAAATCCATCGGCCAGCGTGTACCCGCCTGGCAGCACTGTCAGGTCACATGCTTTGTAGATTGAGGCTGCAGCTGAATCCACGAATTCCTTTTCCTTTTGACCGCTTGACATCGGGCGTTGGTGTTATTGTCCTCCTAGGCAGACATCTCTTGGGCATGGTCATCGGGGATCAGAGCCACAGGGTAACGAAGCTGGTCGAAAGAGAGCTCCGAACTGATGCGACCCGAGTTTTGCAAACTTGCCGTTGAGCATGAACTTCTCTGCCCTCTTTGCGTGCTATGCAGGTAGAGATATCGCAAAGTCATCCCACACGCTTATAGACGCGGAAGAAGAGCGTCACCATCCAAAGCATGAAGCAGATGCTGAAGGACCTCTGCGCACAAACTCAGAGCGCTGCAATCGTGCTAGGGCCCCCCAGATTGCATCTTGCGAGCCATACTGTAAAAGTTACCTTATGGTGACAGTCAGTACTCTAACAGCTTCAACACCACTTCAGTTTCTTTGGCGGATGCCATGCTCTTGGCCAAGGTGCTGGAGCCGCTGCAGCAGCACCACCACCTGCACAGGTCTCTTTAACTCAGAAGCCGGAGCTACAGGGCTAGGATTTTGGGGCAGATTATGCACACATTACTTGCAGCTGGCAGGGCAAGAATCGGTAACGCAGCTTTTTGACGCAGGGACACACCAACCCAAACCTGAGGCTCACCTGAATGAAGCCGCCTCCAAACGAAATCCCAGAACTTACACTCCTAGACCAATTCCGACCTCACCAAAAAAACAAACCTAAACGCACAACCTTACGTTGTGTTGCGGGGGATGTTGGGGCCACCTTCCACGACCTTCGAACAGGAAGCAGGTGCGAGGGGATGCTGGCCAGCCACACCCCTGCAAACCTGAGTCCAGCGTTCTCAGGATTTGCTGTTTTGGGGAACCTGGCTTCAGGCACCATGTTGCAACAAAAACTATGTAACACAAGCGTGTGCGTGTCTTCTTCTATAGGCTGCACCGCACCCACCCCTGACAGGCGGATTGGGACTGCACCCCGTAGCCCCGTGTGCAGCCCTGTTCGGGACTGGCGAGCGAAATTGAAAGCCAAATCCCCACGTCCCCATGCTCCCTTGTAGGCACCTTCCTGAAAAGCTTCAAGGTCAGGTTGGAGCCTAACAGGTTTAAACGCCAAAGATCTGAACAAACACTGCCCCCAAGCGCAGC